CAGAACTCTACATAAAATTTCCAGAAAAAAAATATTCTACTTGTGACCTTAACAATAATGTTTTTTTTTTTTAAATTTTAAGAGCAAAAGGGCAGAACAAAACATTATTATGACACAGAATCTTCCCAAGGCATTTTTTTTGTGTGTGTGGTAATGTTCACATCCCTGTCGTAACAAGTCTCCCTTTTTCTTTTCTTTTTTTTTTTCCTTGCCTTTTCTTTTGAAGCAAGATTAAAGACCAGAGAGCCTTGTGAAAAAAATAGTTACTTTAACACTATTCTTTTCATGCAAAAAAGAAAAAGTAAATAAATATTTATGCGCTTCCCCTTTCAGCGCTACAGACGATACTTCATGCGTTTCTCAATTTTAAAAAAGCCAATGTTTAAAATGGAAAACAAAAACATCAAACATTCCACAAAGAAGGAAGAAATTCTTAAATGAAATCAAAGGGGAAACTATACAGGAGTTGGAAATATAAGATTAAAAACTTGCTGTTAATTCTGTGAAAGGGGTTTCTTTAGGATTTCTTTTTTAATTATTTTTTTTTTTAAATTAAATGCAATTTAATTTTTTTTTTCTGCAGCATAATTTTAAATATTTCACTCATAAAAATATTTAGTGAATTAATAAAAGTAATGTTTGAATGTTACATTTTTTAAAACAGAATTTAAATGAAGGTAATTAAATTTTAATCTTTAAACTTTTACATCCCAGACATATATCAACTTTTTACATCCTAGACGTGTATATAAACTTTTTACATCCTAGACTTATCTCTAAACTTTTTACATCTTAGACTTGTATATAAAAACTTTTTACATTCCAGACTTTATATATAACCTTTTTACATCCTAGACTTATCTCTAAACTTCTTTTTACAGCCTAGACTTTATATATAAAATGTTTTACATTCTAGACTTATCTCTAAGCGTTTTATATCCTAGGCTTTTTTGGGAAGGGTATTGAAACTACATCTTTTAACTTTCTTTCTTTTCTTAAGACATTAAAGTTGTTGATTTATTTTTTTTCTAAGTCTTTGCATGCCATTCTTTCCCAAGTCTTTGCATGCCATTCTTTCCCATGTACTACAGTCAAACAGTAAACACTGGGGTTGATTTACTAAAGGAGTAGAGATTGTTCACTTTCTAAAGTTGAATTTCAACTTAGTGAAAGTGGTGAAGCCAAGTAAAAATCCACTTTGCACAGAATACCCAATAATGTGCAAGGACAGTGAAAAAAAAGAAAAAAAGGATTTGTAGTGTTATAATGTCTAATCTCGTGTCTATTACCCTCCCAATTTTCAGCAAACATGGAAACATGGCTGTTCACGCCCTCCCCGATCAAAATCCACTTTGCACAGAATACCCAATAATGTTGCAAGGAAAAAAAAAAAGGTTTTTTTTGCTTTCACATGATTGAAATGAAGATTCACTTTGCGAAGTGCACATGATCCACTCCTTTAGTAAATCAACGTCCCCGCCTTAGATTATGTGACACAGGACCGATATGACTGCAAACATTTTGACGTTTGTTATGCGTCCTCGGGATTCTATTCGTCCCAAGGCGATAACTGTTCTGTGCTGCAAATAACGTGAGGCTGCAATGCCCCCTTATTCTCAACAGGGATCACTGCAACTCTATCCTTAGAACACGCGCAGCTCATAGGGCTACGATAGGCAAATTGTCTTCTATATAGTCACACAAAATAATAACCCTAAAAGAAATTGAGCCAACTGAGCGGTTTACAAAAATATAATACCAAACACTTTTTTAAATACAAAAAGCGGAGTATAAAAGAAATAAACCAGGAACAACAAACACACGCTCCAGTCATAGAAACTGATAGCGATGCAGGCTTCCCAAGCCAAGTCCATATTGCAATGGTGTATTATGAGTGAGCGGGTCAGTCAACAGTAAGTGAATTTAAACAATATTGGGACAAACATCGATATATGTAAACAAAAAGGTTAAAAACAAAATAAAAAAAAAGGGGGTCAATGGAGCACTAGGCCCTTTTTTCAGCCATCACTCTCCTATGTTTCTATGAGCATCCCGGACCGAATTACAATTCATTCTTAGGGGAACTTTCCGGCTGCTTTTTTTGTTTTATCAGATTAGGTCTGAGCCTTACAAGAAGCGTATTTGTGCAGTAAGTGGCGCTTACAGTCTCCTCCATCTATAATGTATGGGGGGGGGGGATGCATTTTGATAAAAGGACAGCAAGGCCACACAAAAGTGGTCTGGGCATGAAGAAAGGGAAAACAAAACAAAAAAAATCAATAGTTTATTGTTGCCTAATTTCAGCCTGCAATAGAAATCCCTCAGGGCGGCAGACCGCAGGCCTTTCCCCAAATTACAGATTAGAATCAAAGCACGGTTTAGTTATTTTTTTTTGTGGTATTATTTAGTTTTAGATTGTAACGCACACACAGACCCATTTCATCTTTCAGATAAAGGAAAATGCTTTCACTGAGATCCTCACTGCAATCTTATAACACGCTGGATCTATTATACCACATCTAAGCTCCCGGATCAATACCAATTGGGCCATGTCTGGCAGGGGAGCCTGTGACCCCTCTCTGAGAGCATGTGTGTGTGTTACACGGCTCTGATGATAAATTATGAATCTTTACAAAGCAATCGCTGACTGTTAAAGGAAAAGCCTATAGAGAGCCCTCAATCCCCTGCTGCCTGCACCCTTATCTTTGAAGAGAGAGAGGCTTGTAGCAGCAAAGGCTTGGCTTGTCGAGTGTCCCCATGGAGTGTGTATGGGAACAGGAAGATGCGGGTTGTTAGGGGTAGGTGAAATGCATTTGAATGGGATCACCTGACACAAAGCCAGACTTCAAATAAGCCTGCTCTGCTGCGGAGTGCGTAGATCACAGCCGGGCATTCTACATACGTGGCTTTATCTATATGTCACTTTCATAGCATGCTGGGCGAGTGTTTGCCACTCTTCCCTTTAAGTGCCGGGCTCCTCCGATCATTTCCACTAGCCTCATAGAATTTAAACATTTTCCTCATTTTGTGTGTTTCCTCCAGAAAATGTACTGGTAGATGAACAGGCATTCAGTAGAAATGGCCCCATTGTATATCTGTAGGGCTGCGGTGGAGATATTAGCTCTCCTTGCACAGGAATTGATGTCAATGGTTCAGCACCTCGGAATATGTCGGCGCTATACAAATTTCAGGAAATGAATACACAGATTATTGATCAGGGTGCATGAAGGTGAAGACATTGTAGAGCCGAGGGCTTTTGTTGCATTATATGCGCCATTGCCTTGATTGATATTTCGCCTAACATGGTGGTGAAGATTCAAAAGTAATTTCTAATGACCATTGTGATAGCAGATTCCCCACAGGCTGGAAAAGTTTGTCAGTCAACAGCACACGGCCAATATAAACTGTACATGTAAAGGGGAGACCAGCTGAGGCACTGGATGATATTCTGTACCAGTACTTGGGTATAACTAGAGACACTCTGGAATTAAAGCAGCCGGGAGATATGAACAGCTAATATGATCTGAATGCAACGTTCAATACAACAAGGACTGTATTGTGCAGATGTTCAATGGCCACATCCAGGGACATTAAAAGACCCCTGACAGTACCTGGTGATTGAATCCATCTTTCTCATGTATTACATTGTATCCGTGTATATAGACTGTTAGAGCTGCCTATATCAAAAGGGGGGACCTGTGTGTGCTATGATTGTGCACAGCAGAGTGAAATCCTACTACACCCATTCATTTCATACATATAGGTATAGAGGGAGAGAGAGAGTGAGAGATGACAAGAAGAAGAGAGAGAGGGGATGATGATGATAGAGAGAGAGGGGGGATGATGATAGAGAGAGAGAGAGAGAGAGAGCGCGAGAGAGAGAGAGAGAGAGGGGATGATGATAGAGAGAGAGAGAGAGAGAGGGGATGATGATAGAGAGAGGGAGAGCGATAAGAAGAAATGAGAGGGAGATACAGAATGAGAGAGAGAGAGAGAGAGAGAGAGAGAGAGGGATGATGATAGAGAAATAGATAAGGAGAGAGAGAGAGATGATGATGATGAGAATAAATGAGAGGGAGATAGAGAATGAGAGAGAGAGAGGGATGATGAGAATAAATGAGAGGGAGATAGAGAATGAGAGAGAGAGAGGGATGATGAGAATAAATGAGAGGGAGATAGAGAATGAGAGAGAGAGAGGGATGATGAGAATAAATGAGAGGGAGATAGAGAAAATGAGAGAGATGAAAGAAACAGCAAGTGATAGAGGGAAGGAGAGAGGTAAGAGACAGATGGAAGGTACACAGAGGAGAGGAAGAGGATGTGGCAGAGAGAAGGAATAAAGGGTACAGAGGGAGAGATATATAGAACGATATACACAGGTAGGGGGATAATAAGGAGGATATGAAGGGTAGGAGGCAGAAGCATAGATCTAGAGGAATAGATATACAGAAAGATGGACAATTATATAAAGAGATGGACAAGTATATAGAGAGAGGAAATGAGAAAGATATAATGACCAGAGAGGAATTAAAGAATACATGTATCTGGGAGATGGGGAAATAAGGAGCATAGAGAGAGAGAGAGAGAGAGAGAGGAAAAAAATAAATATATATATAATGGGCGATCGATATATAAAGGAGTAGTAGATGTATAGGGGATAGGGGCAGTTATAGAGAGAGGACAGAATGAGACTATAGAGATAGATATGTGACGGTAGTTCTATAGAGGGAGATGAATACAGATCTATGGGAGATGGGAAGTTATATACAGAGACATAAGAATCATATAGTGTGCAGAGCTATAGAGGGAGACGGGAAGCGTCGGAAGATTTTGTTTGGAAGGTTGCGGTCCTGCCATAGACACACACACATCGTACACACCTGCATACCAATCCTGCCATAGACACACACACACACACACCTGCACACCAATCCTGCCATAGACACATCGCGCACACCAATCCTTGCATAGACACATCGCACTCCGATCTCCCTTCTCACCTGTACCAGTCGAGTCCCTTGTCGTAGTTCCGATCAAAGAAGTGTGGTTCGGCCCCCACCGCCCTGATGTCGGGGTGCACCCTGAGGAACTCCAGCAGAGCCCGGGTCCCCCCTTTCTTCACCCCGATAATGATCGCCTGGGGCAGCTTCTTACCCCCGGACCCGTTGTAGAAGGTGGAGATGGACCCCCCGTCCTCCGATCCCCGGGGCTCTGCACGGAGCAGTAGCTGGGAGAGAGGACCGGGCTGTGCGGGGAGGGAAGCGCAGGATCCGGCGCATGAATAGAACATATAGAGGCAGAGGATGAGCATGGTGCAGAGAGGCAGCACAAGCCTTCTTCTCAGAGAGGACACGGGACTGGCATCCATAGGGGCATCATCATCATCCAGCACCCCCAGCCAAGGGAACCTACTCCTTCCACAGCTCCATCACAATCCACACAGAGCCCAGCTGCCATAGATCCAGCACAAGGATGGACATGACTTTCTCCTCTCCCAACCTTCCTGCTGCGGCTCCTACTCACTACTGCTTTCCTGCAGCCTGCTCACTCCCATCCATGGCAGAGGGGAGTGGGAGGAGCCTGAGACAGGCAAACCTGCTGCCCAATCACAGCCTGGCACCCTATGCAAATTAGCCATTTGTTGATAAAGGGCAGCCAGTAAAATGAGGGAGACTGGCAGCTTTCTGTGTCTTCTGATTGGCTGCTTGTCCTATATAGAGGATGGATGCTGCAAGACCTGATTCAGTTGCTGGAGGGGGATGAGAGGAGACAGAGAGCTCTTTCAGTGCTGTCACCTCTCAGGAAAGGCACTTTGCAAGGATAGGATTTCTGCATTCATCCACAAATCAAAAGCAATTCCTAAAAAGTCTCCACCCCAACCTGAGCTGTTCTGATTGGTTAGAAGGGGTTAGTGAATTTAGCACACATTGCTCCCATGAAATACATTGGGGTTCATTCCCTAAAGGCGAAGAGACTTCACTTTTCAAGGGAACTTTCCCTTAGCTTAGTGAATGTTTTGAAGCTCTGCTGACTTCCATCATCCAATCATGTGCATGCAAAAATACTTCTATTTCCCTCGACCTGTGACCGGTCACTCAGGGTAGCGGCGGATCATGGAGCGACTTGTGCCGTGTACATGAATACTGAATTTTGTAAGGGAGTTCTCACTTCGCTTGGTGAATGTGGTGAAAAGTCACGTTGCACAGAATGCCCAATCCTTGCACGTGATTGGGTGACTTTTCACCACATTCACTAAGCGAAGTGAAAACTCCCTTACAAAATTCAGTAAATGGACCCTGATGTATAGGGATGCACCAATACCGATACTAGTATCGGTATCGCTGCCGATGCAGAGTGTTTGGGCAAGCATTCGTACTCGCCCAAATGCTCCGATGCTTAGCCCGATACTTCCGGTATCAGGAAGCCGGGCAGCTCGTCATTAAACACTGCCTGGCTTCCTGATTGGCCGGGAAGCCGGCTCTATGCTCTCTCGGCACTTGTGATTACTCGTGTAATGACGCGCTGCCCGGCTTCCTGATTGGTCGGAAGCTGGGCAGCGCTCTATGCTCTCTCGGCACTTGTGATTACTCGTGTAATGACGCGGCGCCCGACTTTCTGATTGGTCGGGAAGCCGGCTTTATGCTCCCTGGTCACCTCATGGCGAGGCCGCATGGAGCCGGCGCCTTGGCCAGTCAGGAAGCCGGGCGCTGTGTAATAAAGCAGTGCCCGGCTTTCTGATTGGTCAGGAAGCCGGCTTCATGCTCCCTGGTCACTTCATGACGAGGAAGCATGGAGCCGGCTTCCTGGCCAATCAGGAAGCCGGGCGCCGCGCCTTTACACAGCGCCCGGCTTCCTGATTGGCCAGAAAGCTGGCTCCATGCTTTCTCGTCACCTAGTGATGAGAAGCATGGGGACGGCTTCCCTGCTAATCAGGAAGCCGGGTGGCGAATCATTACACGCCGCCTGGCTTCCTGAATGGGACTTTACGTACTTGGTATTCGGTATCGGTGAGTACCGGAAAAAAATATCGGTACTCGATAGCGAAATACCGGTATCTGTGCATCCCTACTGATATGTACACGACACAAGTCACTCCATGATCCGCCGCTACACTGAGTGACAGGTCACAGGTCGAGGGAAATGAATACAAACAACAGTATTCCAACTATAGCAGATTGATTGGCAATAAAAATTAATTGCGCGCTCGTCCTCCCGATCCCATCAAAGATCCCAAACTCATAATTAAAGCCATTTATAAATCCATGCATTGTATACAGCCCGTCCGCAATTATCGTCATCGCTCCGCCGTTCTCTGCTGAGTTTTAATTCAGCTCAGCGTGATCAATATTGCTTTTCTGTAGAGAGAGAGAGAGCAGAAAAAAAAGTGAAATAATTTAATGTTGAGATTTTAATCTGTGTAATAAATTCGAGGGACAGGAAATTCAATAATGAGTACAATCATTGAAACGAGGGAGGGAGAGAGAGAGGGAGAGAGAGGGAGAGAGAGGGAGACAATGGCTTGTTTGGTAAATGCCGAGTATTTGTATGCAAACGGAGTTTTAAGTGCACGGTATAAATCGGTCCATTTAATAATTTAGTGCCGAGGTCTCCTCTCTAAGTGAGTTTAGTGCTGGGAATCAATATGCAAAAGGGGTTTTTTTTTTCTTTTCTTTTTCCCCCCATCGCCTTGTGGGTTTTTTTTGTTGTCTTTTCTCTCTGAAGGGCTGGAGAGCTTTTTAAGTCTCGGGCTGGGTGAGTGCAGCTGCCCGCTCGGAAGATGGATGTCTTTAGAAATGTACAATTATTTATCTAACATGTCCATTGAGAAGTGACATGTTCAATATGCTGCGTGCATGGGGGGGCAGATCTGAGGACCCATGGGGTGTTTATAGAGAGGGATGAGTATTATATGGCTGGACCCCCCCCCACCACCACCCTCCCTCCTCTTTCCAAAATATATAGATGTCTGTCTATACATGCATCTGCTTGTGTGTTCTTGTATAATGGTTGTATGTTAGCAGTTCCATGCAAAGTTATTCTTGGGATGCAGAGCCGATCAGTGGCGTCACAAGGGGGTTACGTCCCGCACCCGGGTGAGACCATTGCAGGGGTGACACCAAAATGACTAACAGTCGACCCAATATAAATTGTAGCCGCACTGGTGAATGTGAACCCCAATGGACTTCTCTTATTTGCTCCTTTTTGGTCTTTTAAATAAACCATTGAAAGTGTTTTGTATCTGATCATGAAGTGTAAAATATACCTGTTGATCCTGCCAGAAATCTTGTGAGCTGATAACTTCCTGTGCCCTCTGCCTGTGCTGTTTAATCAGTTCTCTCTGTGGACTACAGAACATCCCCTATGCTATGTAGAGGAGGATGTTGAGTGTTGTTGTAGCTCTTTGATAAGTGAAAAGAATATACCTGTTGATCCTGCCAAAAGTCTTGTCAGCTGCCAGCTACAGAACATCCCCTGTGCTATAGAGATGATGATAGTGTGTTGTTCTAGCTCTTTGATATATAAAGGGTTGCACAGATACCAAGTACAGTACTCGGTACAAGTACGAGTACATGTACCGATACTTTTGAGCTTCAACACTACACTAGAGAAAATTTAAAAAATTAGTAGGCCGCTGTCACTTGTAAGTAGCACACGGAGCTCCTGGGATTTGTACATCTCTGTTTTAATGTACGATTTTGTTTTTATAAATATAAATAAAGGGAGGCACCGATACCAGTTTTGCAAGTACGAGTACTGGTACTTGCCGAGTACTTGCAAGTACGAGTACTGATACATTTTTGTTTAGTGTCATGTGACAGTTTTTCTAAAACAATGCAGACTAATGATTTCAGGACAGTGGAGGAGCGCCAGAGCCAGGTCCCAGCTGCAACCGCTGCAATCCTGGTAGTTCTCATGAAAATGCCAAGTATCGGCACTGGTATCTGAACTGGTATCGGTGCATCCCTAATAAAAACACTATACCTGTTGATTCTGCCAGAAGTCTTGTCAGCTGTCAGCTACAGAACAGTTTTATAATATTAAGGGCTATGTGGGGATGAATTGTGTGAGATTGTGATGGTTCAGTGGTTAGGTTGAGGTGGAATAGGCTTCCCTGAAGAGATGAGTCTTTAGGGAACGCCTAAAGGTAGTCAAGGTGGGAGACAGACGACAGACAGAAGTTCCAGAGGATGGGAGAGACTATAGAGCAGGGGTGCCCACATTTTTTTGGGCTGAGATCTACTTTTCAAATGACAAGCTACAGGAGATCTACCAAAGGACAAAAACCTCCCTCGCTCTCCTGGCTGTCTCTCCTTGCTCATCCTCCTGGCTGTCTCTCCTGGCTGTCATTCCTAATTTTCTCTCCTGGCTGTCTCTCTGCGCTCTCTTAGCTATCTCTCCTTGCTCTCTCCCCTGGCTGTCTCTCCTTGCTCTCTCCCCTGGTTGTCTCTCCTTGATCTCTCCCCTGGCTGTCTCTCCTTGCTCTCTCCCCCGGCTGTCTCTCCTCTGGCTGTCTCTCCTCTCTCTCTCTTTCCCGGCTGTCTCTCCTTGCTCTCTCTCCTGGCTGTCTCTCCTTGGTCTCTCTCCTGGCTGTCTCTCCCCGCTCTCTTTCCTGGCTCACCTTGCTGTATTCTGCAGACAGTGTAGTGCAACAGGCTGTGTAAACTAATATTCTTTGATGTAATACAACCAGCAGTATCCACCAGAAAGGTGTCGGGGAGCTTGGCTCAGCAGACTCGGACTAATAGGTAATCATGTGTGCACAGCTAAATAAATATACCAAAATGGAATAAAGGGGCCGCCATTCACACCCTTTGTGATCTACCAGCATCAGCTTTGAGAGCTACTGATAGATCACCATCTACCTAATGGGCATCCCTGCTCTAGAGGGGTCCTGGAGGGGAGCATGGGAGGAGTTGACAAGGGAGCTAGAAACTAGGAGGTCTTGGGATGAGCGAAGTGGACTTTCCATCTCTTGTGTAAGTTGTGTGAACTACATAAAACATATACAAGTGTTTAGACCTCTTCTATCACTTACCTGTTACATCCTATTAAAAAAAAGTATCATTTATTTCTGCCCGTAGCATATTTTGGAGAGTTTGTAGTCAGATCGGAGATAATGGATCTCAGGACTTCGTATGGGGACACATAAGTGGGCGGTTTAGTAAACTTAAAATACTTTTTTGAATTCTAATGGTTTCGTTTCATCTTTGCTAACAGGAGGTGAATGATCACATACATATGAAGGGGCTTCAGGAGCGGATCTCAGCCTGAGCTGGTTTTAAAAAAGAAGACAAAAGGGATTTTCTGCAAAAAAGGATTTCAAAGAACTTTGTAAGGTAACTTGAAAAAAAAACAAACAAAAAAACACAATGTTTAAATGTGAACGTCTCTGCATCCGTCTGTCGGTGATTATTTATTGAGTGGGGGATTGTAACATTGGCTGCAACTGGTAGATAGATGTGAGATGAGGATTTATTATAGACCTTCGTGTATGTAAAACCCAAATCTTTTA